AGGTGTGTAGGCTTACTGTCCTGGCTCTGTTAAATATGTGTTGAATTTTGCAATAAATATTTCCTTCGAAAGTGAGGTATGGGTGGCACGTGCCTCCATTTTCCAGCTACTCAGGAGGCTGAGGAAGGAGGATCGCTGGAGCCCAGAGTCTGAGATTGCTGTGAGCTATGAAAGCAGCGTGAGTAGCCACTATACTCCAGCTGGGAGACAGGTGAATCCGTCTCTGAAAAAATATATACATATATAGGTAGGTAGGTAGATTGAATGGAAATAAATAGGATTAAAGGATTTAAGATGGTTAAATAAAATGTGTAGGAGGCCTGATTTGGAACTGGGCTCCTGTGCTGGATCCAACCAGATAAAACCATGTGGAGTCATCCATGCTAAAGAACTGGTTATTTAGGGGTGTGAGCATATAACAAACAACAGTATTCAGTGAGTTACAACAGCTGAGCTTAGTCATTGTGGCAGCAGCTGATTCAAGAGGCAAACAACGGGCACTGTATACTCGATTCTGTTTTCGATCCGTAAATACGTCTGGCCGTGTTGCATCCCCAGAAACGAATTGTTCTTGTTCTGAGGGTGCCTGATTCTAGGATCATGAATGAACCAATTAGAATCTTTACACTAAATCTGTTATATTTGGTCTTTGCAAGTTCTGTTTTGAATAAGAAAAAATACTAAAGCCTGTTGAAAATAATGGGCCAAGGTATTCAGACAAACGAGAGATGCCACTTTTGCCTATCCTATTGGCAAATGATACAGCAGTAATAATACTAGTGTTGTTCTGGTGAGGGCAGTGAGATGTGTTAGTTATCTATTCTCCTGAAACAGCCACTCCAAAACCTAGTGGTGTGACAACAGTCACTCAGTTGCTCCTTAATCTGCAACGTGGCACAGCTCGGCAGAAGAACAGCTCCTCCCTGTACTGGGTGTGCTGGTGCTGGTGGGAAGGTCACCTGGGCTGGTGACAGCTTGCCCAGGAAGCAGATAGAAAGGCGCAGTCCAGTTAAGGGGAGGAGTCCTGCCTCAGCTCCCCTTCCTGACAAGATCTGACAAAGTTCTGAAAAACTATGTGAGATGGGGATATTGTTGAGGCCATTTTAAGAAAATATAATCTGTCCCAGAATCCTCTCATCTACTTCTGGTATCAACTGATCCTACCTTTGGAAATATATAAACGTGTGATGTAATGTAACTGGCAATATATTTTAAAAGCCCTAAAAAATATATAACCCTTGATCCAACAATCCTATTTCTGGAATTTATCCTAAGGAAGTCAGTGAGGCTATTTACTAAGCCTTTGATGAATATTTATACATCCAAATAAGATTAACCTAAAGTCCAAAAGGGGATTGATTAAATTGTGGTACATCATTATAATGGAACACAATGTAAACACTAAAAATAACTTAAATGTATATTTTTTTAGCCTGAAATTATTTTCACACCACACCGTTAAGTGAAAATATCAAGTTACAAAAACAGTTCCATACAGTATGAGCTTATTTTTGAAAAAAAAATATGTACAAGCTGGGTGTGGTAGCTCACGCCTGTAATCCTAACACTCTGGGAGGCTGAGGCGGGAGGATCACTCAAGGTCAGGAGTTCAAGACCAGCCTGAGCAAGAGCAAGACCCTGTCTCTACTAAAAATAGAAAGAAATTAGCTGGACAACTAAAAATATATAGAAAAAATTAGCCGGGCATGGTGGCGCATGCCTGTAGTCCCAGCTACTCGGGAGGCTGAGGCAGGAGGATTGCTGAGCCCAGGAGTTTGAGGTTGCTGTAGCTGGCTGACACCACGGCACTCTAGCCTGGGGCAACAGAGCGAGCCTCTGTCTCAAAAAAAAAATGCATATTTGTGGATATTGAAACCATGTATATCCCAGGTTGAATACCTGGGATATGTACATGAAAATGTTAATATAGTGGTTAAAAATGGTCAGTGGTGGGATTACAGGTGTTTTTTTTTCTTTTTACTTATCTGTATTTTCTTTTTAAATTAACAT